AGGCAATGAGAGTCCCTCTATTGCACTTCCAGCCCTTCCACTCTCCTCTTTCCATCACAATATTGGATAAATGACGCTCACCACAGAAAAATCGGTGTGAGAACAATACATGTTTTTTTGCTGTCAGGCTGGGCTCCCTTAGGCTCTTGTATCTGATTTATTTATAATCTGATTTGGAAATGAAAAGACAAAGTTGTCCTTGGGGACCATGTGGCCCACATGCTCGAAGTTCTAAGATTGCGTCAGCCTGCAGCTCTTAGTCTGGGCACAGATGCCAGCTGAGCCACCATCTGCTTGGCTCTCTCCGGTCTCTTCAGAGCAAAGCCTGGTTTGAGTATGGGTGCTCCTTTGCTCTCCTTCTACATGGATGCCATGAAACATCATCCAGTTGAGCAGTCAGGCCAAAGAAAGTGTACATTCCTACAGCGCTGGTGAGGCTGGCAGCCATGCCCAGCCCTGATACGCCACCCCAGCTTCCTCACTACACATGAGCAACTGGACTGTCATCTACCAGAGTCAGTCTAGAACCCTGTCATGCACAGGGACGGCACATAGATGAGTGGGTTTCAGACAATGGCAGGCTTACAGAGTGCTTACCAAACACACTTGCTCACTTCACTTCTTTGTTCTTAGGTGTGACATGAGATGGAAACATTTTTGGAACAAAAATTATGTTCAAACAAGAGAGATGCTTTGAATGTCTGAGTCAGAATTGCCTGCAAAATCTCACACATATACACAAACTCCCAAATGCACAGACATGTGCCTGCACACATGTACACACACACACACACTCCCTTGGGTGTGATATATGTGTGCTGTGACAGGCAGGAATATTGACAGTGTTGAGGTCTCCTCATATCCTGTCTAATAAAAAAGAAAATCTTCTTTTATGCTTTTGTTTCTTTTATTAGTTGTGAGGGTTAGAGGAATTCTGATTGGCAAAGAAAGGTTCGTGTTGGTATATCTGATAAAAGTGACCTTTAGTCAATGAGTGCTTCATGTTTTTCTGACGGGGTGTACAGACAGAGTCTGTCTGGACAGCAAGTGGCATTTTTTTCTATGCAAGGTGACATTTATGCCTTGAACCTTTCCATTTGGCAGGTGCCAGGAAGCTGACAGAAGAGAATGTTAAACCAGTTATGAAATGACTCTCCTCTCACTACAGACACCAGGGGCAGGGAGAGAAGTTGATTAATTACAAAATATGCTTTGAGGACTCACTCTGTGCTATGGACTGTGCTGGGCCCAGGGATAAAGAGGCCACAGATCAGATGTGCTCCCTAGTCTCACAGGGATTAAGAGCCAGCAGGGGAGTTGAACATTAGCCGGAGTTCAAATGTGATGAGTCATGGAGGAGATGGGCTACCGGTGCCTATGACAGGGGACCTCCAGTAGGGAAGGGTCTTAGAGAGGGCTTCTCAGGGAAGGAAGTTTAAGCTGAGACTTGACGAGGCAGCAAGCCTAGCTAGGTGAGGAGCAGGTAGAGCTTCCAGCAGAGAAAAGGCATGAGGCAACAACAGCACTGGGGAGGAAAGAGGGTGGCATGCGAGCAAACAGAAAGATGTCAAGGTGGCAGCGGACAGCAAAGTGCGGAAAACTTGGAGAGGAATGCAGGGGTGGTACATGTTGAGCCTGGAAGAATACAGTGAGTATTTTGTACTTTATCTGAAGAAGCATGGGTGTCCTCAGAGGCTGAAAACCATGGCAGTGACGTGCTCATCACTTGGCTGTGGAGGGGCTGATAGACTATGGCCCAGGAGTGGAGACAGAGAGCCCCGTCAGAGGCTGTCACAATGGTCCAGGCAAGAGGCAAGGGTACCTTTAATTAGTGTAGAGTAGGTAGGATTTGGTGGTGGATTTGATGGGGTACGTGGGATAAGAAAGAGGAAGAAATCTGGATGCCTCCCAGGAGGACAGTGGGGTCATTTACTGGAACAGGGGCCCTGGGGGAGAAGCAGGGAGGGGGTGGGACCTGAGCTCGGGGTGGGGAACACTGGACATTAGTCACCTGTGAAGCAGCCAAGAGGAGAAGTCAGGAAGGCAGACTGGCAACTCCAAGGGCTCCAGGAAGAGATGCACATTCAGAAGCCTCTGCCACGGGGCGCTAAGTGAAGCTGTGGGTGCTGCGCCTCCAGGAGGAGCAGAGGGCCTAGGAGGGAGCCCTGTGCCCCACAACTCCAGCTGCTGCTGGCCAAGAGCTGCAGAGTAGTCAGTTGAGGGGACAAGAGGAAAGGCAGGAGAGTATGGTGCTATTAAAGATATGAAAGGAATTGTGTTTCACGAAGGAAGTGCTGGACAACTGTGCTGAATGCTGCTAAGGGTTATTTTTCCAAGAAAACCTGTCTCTGTCACTCTCCTGATTACAAATCTCACCAGTGCCTCCAAGAAAGAGTCTAAGGTCCTTATCATGGAATCCCAGGCCTCTCACGTGCTTCCGCCAGTCTACCTGCCCAGACTCCTCTCCCCAGCTGCCCCCTACCAATGAAGTCTGTGCTGCGTGTGGCCCCTGTGGACACTGACAAGTGTGTACCATCTGCTTTCCCCGCATTCCTCCCCCCGTATTGCAGCTTTTGTCTGGAGGTGTGCCCCACTCCCACCCTTTCAGTCCATGTGGTTCTGAGTCACCAGGGCAGCCTTTGGCATGGGGCATGCAACCAGGTCAACACTAATCAAGTGCTTCACCCTCTCCTGACAGGGACTGGGGAGGGGAGGGGACAGGAGAGGTGATTTAAGATGGTCCCATCTGAGTGAATTTCCTGGAAGTTCTGGGACCAAGGCTCATCTTCCTTTCCAGTGGCTCACAGTCGCACAGACATGGCCCCGGGAGTGCTGGCAGCACTGAGAACATGGCTAACATGTGAAGGAGAGCAGAGCTGAGACAGGGAGTCTGGCACCAGGGACATGCTTTGAGTCTTTCCTGTAAGCCAGGCCAGAAGCCAAAATGAACTTGGAATTTTGAGCTCTGGGAACCAGTGAATGAACTCTGTTTTTCGTTTTTACATAAGAGCCAGGTTCCTTGTCACTTGCGACAGGATCCATGAATCCTAACTTCTATATGTGCTATTTCTGTAACTGAGAAGGTTTCCCTGCTTCTCTGACTAGAGCATTTACCTGTGCTTCTCAGTGCAGTCTTCTCTGACTCCTGTGAGCATTCATCCCTGTGGCCTCTCATACAGCCTGGCACTATCCGCCCACCGTGGTTTACACACCTGCTTCCCCAACAGCCTCAGTCCAGGGATCATGTCTTACTTCTGTATCTCTGATGCCTCACAAAGTATTTGGTGTATAAGAGTCACTTATCAAATGGTTTCCGAGAGACTCTCTGAATGAACAAATGAAATATAAGCAAGAGGCTCAATATCAAGATATTAGAAGACAAAGAAGAAAGGGAAATAAAGGTCAAATGAGTGCTTAAGCCAATGAAAAATTAAGTGCATCACCTCCAGTACTGGCCAAGTACATTTTCAAAATGTCATTATTTTAAATTATGGAAATGGCTTCTCGAAAACAAAAAAATAAATAAAGCATGTCCCCTGCTCCCAGATGGAATAAATTCATTTAGCTGTGTTACATCAGAATAACTTCATACAATCTGGTATTCAAAACTCATTAGGTCGGGTTGACTGATTTTTCCATAATTGTTTTAAACATTTACCATCTACAAAATTTCATCCCAAACCTGAACAGTCAGTCATTGGCACCTAAATGAGTAGGCTCCCTCACTCAGGCCCTGAACCAGCTTCAGCGCTACACTGGGTTATTATCAAATGTTTATGGAAGACATCCAGAGCAAGCCATAGTTACCATGGAAACAGGCACAGTAAAGGAAAGGATGGCTGTCATACACAAGATGAGACTGTGTATAGGAAGCATCGACTAGCCAAGAAACAACATGAGATATTCCCAGTTAAGAATGGTCATTTATATTCAGGTGTTGAAAACCGAGCTGTCCAAACACCCAACAAGGAAACACGCAGAAGGCTGTTCATCCTGGCCACCAATGTGGCTTTTGATCCAGATGAAACTGTTAAGGCCTGACTGAAATAGGCTGTTTCCGATTCTGTAAAGGAGTGTTTTTCAAATGAAGTTGGATTTAGCTTCTAATTGAACAGGAGAGACACTTCTAAACCTAAATGTTGTGAAGACCCCTTTTCCCCTTCAGTGCTCGCCATCTCCCTCACACACTCCCACACATGAGTATATGTCTATACACATAAGGTACAGTATGGGCCAGAACAAAACCCACTGAAGTATGCAGAAGGTAGAGTTCAGAGAAGCACATGCCTCAGGTATTGTCCTACTCGGTTTGTGCCTTGGGCTTGAAATGCTTATTAAAGAAACTCGACAAAGACTATTTTTAGTGATAAATCTCTAAAGATCCAACCACTAGATTCAAAATTAGAGCAGGCTTAGGTATATCACTTTGTTCATCTAGTGGCAACTGGCGCTTTATCTGCTTTTCCTGTGAAACCTAGGATGGATCATGGCTCTTTGTTCCTCTGTCAGTGATTAGTTGTGGAACTTTATCCCAACTGAGAGTATTATTGAGGGCTTCCCTGGTGGTCCAGCAGTTAAGAATCCACCAGCCAAGGCAGGCAACACTGGTTCAATCCTGGTTTGGGAAGATTCCACATGTCATGGAACAACTAAGCTCATAAACCACAACTACGGAAGCCTGTGCTCTAGAGCCCAAGAGCTGCAACAACTGAAGGACCACACACCCTAGAGCCTGTGCTCTGCAACAAGAGAAGCCACCACAATGGGAAACCCAGGCATCGCCACTGAAGAGTAGCCCCTGCTTGTTGCAACTAGAGAAAGCTCGCATGTAGCAAAGGAAACCCAGCAAAGCCAGAAATAAACAAATAAAAGGTAAAAAAGGAAAATATTCATGGAAGACCAGGACTCAGAATACAGGAAACTCAGTGCAAAGTCCAAAGGAGATTTTAAAAAAATGAAAGCACAGGAGAGCTCTGCAGGATCACCCTGCTGGTTGGTACCTTATCTGATTTTCCTCATCGTCCACCAGGAAGAACCAGCGAAACTTCACAACCAGGGGGCTGCAGTTGGTGATCATGACGTAGCGGATCACCTCGGTGTCATTCAGGATACAGCCAAAATCCAGCTCCATGGTCTCAAAGGTGAGGTTGGGGTAATTCACTTCTCCACGCAGGTGCAGGGTGTCCACTTGAGGGTGCTCCACATACTTGATGGCTAAAACTTCTTCGGCCACCCAGTTGTTCAGATCATTTTTGTAGGAAGGGTCAAATCTGACCAACAGGTCTTTTACTTCACCGACCTCCAGTTTAACAGGCTACAAAAAAGATAATGGGGAATTACCAACCTCTACACTATGCATTTCCAACCTGATATATGAAATAGGACAACCAAAGTTACTTACATATATTTATGTGCATATACATACATATACACACACACACACACAATAGCAAGAAACACATACATACACACATATATGTAAATATATATATACACACACACTCTTTATCCATAACTATGCATCCACAGTTTACATAAACAGATGACATACTGATGGCAATATCTATATATATCCATCTCTATCTCAATCTCTATGCACACTCATATTTTTCAATAGTTGAAAATGAAAGCAAGGAAAATTTGGAGAAAAATGATTTGAAAGAAGAGATTTTGATAAACGTTGTGAGGTTCTAAGGATTGAGGAGTTGAAGTCTGCAATGAATAGCTATTATAAAATATTCTGAAAATAATATAAAAACTGAAAATAAATTAGATTGCAAAATGGTCTTCCTAGATAAGTGGGAAATGTTCTTTGCTTAAGAAAATTTTTAAAAAGGCTTTCTAAAGGACTGGGGGAGGGGTCCCATAGACGGTGACCCAGAAAGGAATGGATTAGGTAATTTAATTTCTTTTCTAATGTCTGCAATTCTAACACTTCGCACAGTGTTATTCACTTTCCGCTGTTTTCTATTCAACTTAAAATGACACTCCAGAGCTGTAGAGAGTTTGTTCGGGAGATTGTGTTTGTTCTCTTCTCTGATTCAAATCCCCATGTGTTCCTTGATACCAAGGCCACAGAAACACCTTCCCAAAGAAAGCCTGGCCCTGAGTTCGCTTTTTTAGGAATCCCTTAACCCCCATATTTAATCAGCATGAAAGCCACCTCCTGGTTTTGTAGAAAGTGCCCTGAGGAAGTCAGGAAGAATACAGCACAGGAACAAATCTGTTTACAGAGCACTTTCCTCTCCGCTGAGTTTTAAGGTTCAGGTATTTAACCATGTACTTCACTGACATGATCAGATGGCTTCAGTGGATAAAACCAATTACCCAACTGAAGAGTCAGAGAGAGGGTGATGACTCCCCAGTTGGCTAATCTCCTCTGAGAGCCTTGCCAGCCACTTGGCACAGGTGGCTTGGCACAGTTTAGAAGCCATTCTTGTAGACCATGGCACCTGCAGCACTAGGCATTGTGATGCTTAGTATTTAAATACAAAACACAAAGAAGAAGTCACAAACTTATCCAAAATTTCACCAGATATTATTTCTCAGAGATCATATCTGGTAAAACATTAGTCCAGACATGATGAATGGATAAGTAAAATTTTAGAAAAATAGAATTAGACTAATATATTTTTAAAAAATCATGTTTGCACTTTAAAAAATAGGAAAGATTCTTATATAAGAGATATTAATTGAAAGATCATGGACTCTGGAGCCAGACTACTTGGGTTCAAATTCTGGCTCTGTCAGTTAGTCACTCTGTGAACTTGGGCGAAGCTGCTTGCCTTTCCTAGCCTTTAGGTTCTCCATCTGTAAGACAGGAACGGTAACAGTACCTAACTCTTTTCTAAGAGGATGAAATGAGTTAACATATTGGTGATATGTTCAGAGCAGTGCCTAGCACATAGTGTAGGGTATATAAATGTCAGTTATTACATATCAGTGAACATTAACATTTTAGGAATTAGTGAACTAAAAAACTGGAAAGAGCGAATTTAACTCAGAAGACTATTACATCTACTACTGTGGGCAAGAATCCCTTAGAAGAAATGGAGTAAGCCTCACAGTCAACAAATGAGTCCCTAATGCAGTACTTGGATGCAATCTCAGAAACAACAGAATGATCTCCATTCGTTTCTAAGGCAAACTATTTAATATCACAGTAATCCAAGTCTATGCCCCAACCAATAATGCTGAAGAAGCCAAAGTTGAATGGTTCTATGAAGACCTACAAGACCTTCTAGAACTTACACACAAAAAAGATGTTCCTTTCATTATAGGGTACTGGAATGTAAAAGTAGGAAGTCAAGAGATACCTGGAGTTACAGGCAAATTTGGCCTTGGGGTACAGAATGAAGTAGGGCAAGGTTAATAGAGTTTTGCCATAAGAATGCACTGGTCATAGCAAACACCCTCTCCCAATAACACAAGAGAAGACTCTATACACAGACATCACCAAAAGGTCAATACCAAGACCAGACTGATTATATTCTTTGCAGCCAAAGATGGAGAAGCTCAATACAGTCAGCAAAAACAAGACTGGGAGCTAACTGTGGCTCAGATCATGAACTCCTTATTGCCAAATTCAGACTTAAATTGAAGAAAGTAGGGAAAACCACTAGACCATTCAGGTATGACCTAAATCAAATCCCTTACAATTATACAGTGGAAGTGAGAGATAGATTCAAGGGATTAGATCTGATAGACAGACTGTCTGAAGAACTATGGATGGAGGTTTGTGATATTGTACAGGAGGCAGGGATCAAGACCATACCTAAGAAAAAGAAATGCAAAAAGGCAAAATGGTTTTCTGAGGAGGCCTTGCAAATAGCTGTGAAAAGAAGAAAAGTTAAAGGTTAGGAGAAAAGGAAAGATATTCCCATTTGAATGCAGAGTTCCAAAGAAGAGCAAGGAGAGATAAAAAAGCCTTCCTCAGCGATCAGTGCAAAGAAATAGAGGAAAACAACAAAATGGGAAAGACTAGAGATCTCTTCAAGAAAATTAGAGATACCAAGCAAGGAAACATTTCATGCAAAGTGAGAAAGAAAATGAAGTTGCTCAGTCATGTCCAACTCTTTGCAACCCCATGGACTGTAGCTTACCAGGCTCCTCCATCCATGGAATTTTCCAGGCAAGAGTACTGGAGTGGGTTGCCATTTCTTTCTCCAGGGGATCTTCCTGACCCAGGGATCTAACCCGAGACTCCTGCATTGCAGGCAGAAGCTTTACCTTTTGACCACCAGGGAAGCCCCAAAAGGAATTTGAAAAGAGAGGCCCATTGCCATGCCATTGTTGCCGCAATGCCGTGACTCGGATTCGAACTGAGGTTGCTGCGGCCACAACGCAGGGTACTAACCACTATACAATCACGGTGAGCTACCAGAGACCTGTGCAACCTTGTGGACTATATAGTCCATGGAATTCTCCAGGCCAGAATACTGGAGTGGGTATCCTTCCCTTCTTCAAGGGATCTTCCCAACCCAGGGATAGAACTTAGGTCTCCTACATTGCAGGCAGATTCTTTACCAGCTGAGCCACAAGGGAAGCCCTCTTCATGCAAAGAGGGGCTCAATAAAGGACAGAAATGGTATGGACCTAACAGAAGCAGAAGATATTAAGAAGAGGTGGCAAGAACACACAGAAGAACTATATAAAAAAGATCTTTATGACCCAGATAACTATGATGGTGTGATCACTCACCTCAAGCCAGACATCCTGGAGTGTGAAATCAAGTGGGCCTTAGGAAGCATCACTATGAACAAAGTTAGCAGCGGGGATGGAATTCCAGTTGAACGATTTCAAATCCTAAAATATGATGCTGTGAAAGTACTGCACTCAAAATGCCAGCAAATTTGGAAAACTCAGCAGAAGCCACAGGATGGGAAAGGGTCAGTTTTCATTCCAATCCCAAAGAAAGACAATGCCAAAGAATGCTCAAACTACCACACAATTGCACTCATCTCACACACTAGCAAAGTAATGCTCAAAATTCTCTAAGCCAGGCTTCAACAGTACGTGAACTGTGAAATGTCAGATGTTCAAACTGGATTTAGAAAAGGCAGGGGAACCAGGGATCAAGTTGCCAACATCCGCTGGATCATAGAAAAAGTAAGAGGGTTCCAGAAAAACATCTACTTCTGCTTTATTGACTGTGCCAAAACCTTTGACTGTGTGGATCACAACAAATTATGGAAAATTTTTCAAGAGATGGGAATACCAGACCGCTTTATCTGCCTCCTGAGAAATCTGTATGCAGGTCAAGAAGCAACAGTTAGAACTTGACATGAAACAACAGACTGGTTCCAAATCGGGAAAGGAGTACATCAAGGCTGTATATTGTCACCCTGCTTATTTAACTTACATGCAGAGTACATCATGCAAAATGCCAGGTTGGATGAAGCACAAGCTGGAATCAAGCTCTCCGGGAGAAATATCAATAACCTCAGATATGCAGATGACACCACCCTTATGGCAGAAAGTGAAGAAGAACTAAAGAGCCTCTTGATGAAAGTGAAAGAGGAGAGTGAGAAAGCTGACTTAAAGCTCAACATTCAGAAAACTAAGATCATGGCATCCGGTTCCATCACGTCATGGCAAATAGATGGGGAAACAATGGAAACAATGAGAGACTTTATTTTCTTGGGCTCCAAAATCACTGCAGATGGCGACTGCAGCCATGAAATTAAAAGATGCTTGCTCCTGGAAGAAAAGCTATGACCAATCTAGATAGCATATTAAAAAGTAGGGACATTACTTTGCTGACAAAGGTCCATCTAGTCAAAGCTATGGTTTTTCCAATAGTCTTGTATGGATGTGAGAGCTGGACTATAAAGACAGCTGAGCACCAAAGAATTGATGCTTTTGAACTGTGGTGTTGGAGAAGACTCTTGAGAGCCCCTTGGACTGCAAGGAGATCAAACCAGTTAATCCTAAAGGAAATCAGTCCTGAATATTCATTGGAAGGACTGACACTGAAGCTGAAACTCCAATACTTTGGCCACCTAATGCGAAGAGCTAACTCACTGGAAAAGAGCCTGATGCTGGGAAAGATTGAAGGTGGGAGGAGAAGGGGATGACAGAGGATAGGATGGTGGGACAGCATCACCAACTCAACAGATATGAGTTTGAGTAAGTTCTGGGAGTTGGCGATGGACAGGGAGGTCTGGTGTGCTGCCGTCCATGGGGTCGCAAAGAGTCGGACATGACTGAGCGACTGAACTGAACTATCATCCTTTTATGATCAACAGAATTGATCAGAAAGTGTGGATAAGTCTAAGGTAAGTCTAAAATCTTCCCTTGGTGGGTCTCCTCTCTTTAGAAGCCATAGAATTCTTTGGTCAATCATAAGACTGGTAATTTCACTAAGATGTGTCTACCTGTTGACTATTCTACATCATTTTGTTCCAGGACAAAGTGTGACCTTGTTGGTTTTTTTTAAACCTTAAAAAAATATTTTGCTTTTATTTTTGAACAGACAGGACAATGAAAACCATGTTATCCTTGTGCCCATCTCCCCTCCTGTAACTCAAGTGAACTCTTTCCCTCCCCTGAGGCGATTATGATTACACAAGTGTCTTATCTGTCATAGGAACATAAAGATATTACATGAATATAAAATCACATTCACATATTATCTAGGGTGAAACAGATCACCAGCCCAGGTTGGATGCATGAGACAAGTGCTCGGACCTGGTGCACTGGGAAGACCCAAAGGGATCGGGTCGAGAGGGAGGTGAGAGTGGGGATCGGGATGGGGAACACATGAAATCCATGGCTGATTCATGTCAATGTATGACAAAACCCACTACAATATTGTGGAGTAATTAGGGTCCAACTAATAAAAAAAAAAAGAAAAGAAAAAAAAAATTAAAAAAAAATAAAATCACATTCACATATGTATTCCTTTATTTTTTACATATATGATAGCACACTATGCACTCCTGGTCTGCATGTTGCTTTTTCCACTGGGGGATAACGCATCAGTGCACACAGAGCTGCCTCACTCTTTTTCAGTAGCTGCATTTTATTCCAGCATAAAATTCTGCTATCATTTTTTAAGCAATTTCCTATTGACAGATATTGACTCCCAGTCTTTCGTTCTTATAATCAATGTTGCAATTAATATCCTCTTTGGCCACCTCATGCAAAGAGTTGACTCATTGGAAAAGACCCTGATGCTGGGAGGGATTGGGGGCAGGAGGAGAAGGGGAAGACAGAGGATGAGATGGCTGGACGGCATCACCAACTCGATGGACATGAGTCTGAGTAAACTCCGGGAGTTGGTGATGGACAGGGAGGTCTGGCGTGCTGCCGTCCATGGGGTCGCAAAGAGTAGGACACGACTGAGTGGCTGAACTGAACTGAACTGATACATGTTATCTCTTATATTGTGTCTATGTCTGTAGGATAAATTCCTAGGAGTAGAATGACGAGGTCAGAGGGTATGGGCATTTAAAATGTTGATAGCGAGAGCTATTCTGTCTTCCCCTGTATACTTCCCCAACACAGTGCCTGTTTCTACATGCCCTCCAACATAGAGAATTATCCAATTTTTGCTCTTTACCAGTCTGACAGGAAAAAAGTGTTGTTTCATAGTGATTTTAACTTGCATTGCTTCTAACATGAGTGAAGTGGGACATACTTTCATATATTTAAGAGCTTTTTTCTTTTTGTAAACTCTGTTCATTTATTTTGCCTGTTTTTCTACTGGGTTGTTAGTACTTTTCCTGTTGATTTGTAGAAGTTATTTTTAAAATTATATGTATGCTCTTATTAAAAGTTACATGTGCAAGTAATATAAAAGGTCAAACTGTACTAAATGATTTATTACAAGAAACAGTAGTTCCTAACCCACTCTGCCGTTCCAACAGTCCCGAGGACACCATTTCTCAATTCTGGTAGCAGGGTGGGTCTATGGAAGAGCTTTTTTGGTCAGAGAGGGGATGATCAGGCGTTGCACACAACTCAGATACCAGGGATTATTCTGAGGTATCGACACTGACACAGGACACATTGAATTCCCGGAACATTTTGATGAGTTTCTCTGCGGAAGAGCATTTACCTTTACATCTTGGGATGAAAGCCTGCTGCTCATGTCTTCTGAGTGGAGTTGGTCAGGACAGCGGGCTGGCGCACCCAGGGCCCCTTGTGTTCACAGCCGGCGCCTCTCAGCCCGGGATCCCTGAGCTGAAGGACTCACACTGCCTTGCCTCACTGGAGAATTTCCTGTGCTTTATGTCTTTGTCTTTTTGACTACCCACTCCCCTCCTCATTCTATCTTATAGAATTTGTTTAAATCTCTCATTAATTGGTTACACCCACCATCTTCTCCTTTCATTTTATTGCTCTGGGTGGCTTTCCTTCTGAACATTTCTACTTTTATCTTATTAAGATTTCAGGAGGGACAAGATGGGGTCTGACCCAAGACGGAGAAAACTGCTCGCGCCTGAATTTTCATTTTCTCATCCAGCTGTCTTCCTCTGCTCTTCGTCTCCTCTTTGAACACGTGTATCTTGCCCGTGAGCTCTTTCTAAAGACAGGCGTATCGTCTGTCATTTCTCTGAGGCTGTAGAAAACTCCCTGTTTGTACTTTGTGTTTTTCTTTGCACAGGTTCCCTCGCAGGAGGTTTTCATCTGCCTCTTGCTTATAATCATCTTCTCCTTTTATTTTTCTGTTCAGAGACCTTAGCTGTTTCCGCCCTCCCAGCAGTCATGCTTGAATGAGACCTTAAAGAATCAGTGAGGAGGGAAGGGCAGGGGAGGGCAGCGGTGCGGTACTGTCTGCAATACCCTCTCATCCAGCGGCTCATCCCCCATCTCCCACAAACACTCGTCTCCCCGAGCATGTCTCCATGCCTCAGTCATCTCCACTCCTGTTCCACTGCAAAATCCTTCAGTCACAGGCACCCTCCACTCAGCCTGCCCTTCCTGCCTCCTCTATCATTTCTCCATTAGCTGTCCCCCTGAGAGACTGAACACCATGGGGTGTGGGGCTGCTCTCTCCTTCAATCCTCTTCCCTCTGCAGCAGCCCCTGCTGCAGGGCCCAGTCATTCCCTCTGGTGTCCTCACGTCTAGCCAAAGATGGATGATCCTGTGGGATTGTTCAGGGAACACCGCATCCAGCCCCAGACCGGGGGCCAGGGGAGCTCACAGCCTCCTCCCGTGGCCCGGTTCCCATTTCTCAGTATCTGGAGATGGGCTGGCTGGTTCAGGGCCTGGGCTTTGAGTTTTGGTCAAATTTGAGGGACATTAAGATCTTTCCTCTCATTGCTGGGAAGTCACCATTTTCTAAAGATCAGTTTCATCATCACAGGCAGGAAAGGAAGGATCAAAATAGTGAGTGAGAAGTTCTTTCATCATTAATAATAGCTTTCCTACCAACTGATACTGAAATTTGACTCATTTTAGATTTTTCCTCTCTGTTTCCAAGATTTTTTACATTTTTTTTTTCTGGACTGAAATTTGGCAGTGCACTGATACTATTCTCTTCCTTTATCACACACACGGCTCCCTGCTGGGAGTTAGGAAATCCTCTGTCTAGTTACCTCAGGAGTTGAGGGCAGTGGGGATTTATCAGTCTCGCAGATAAAAAAGGGTCCACCTGTTGAGAGCAACACGTTCACAGGCAGCGTGGAAATGTTCTTTACGGCCAAGGGCTGGTATTCAGGTTCTAGGATAGTGTTAGGTTTCTGCAAAAAAAAAGAGAAAACAGAGGAAACAAACCACAGTAAGCCTTTAGCAACAAAGGTCTGATATTCATTGTTAACAGCTGATTTAGCATCCTCTCTGTTTATATCTATGGATGTATGGATTTATATTATCTCCATCTATCCAACCATCTATCTAAATATAGGTAATATATATCTACATATTATATAGATTCACATCTCAATGGTCTTCCATACATTAACAATGATTTATCTAAATCTGTACAAGGGATTAATATAGATGAAGATACAGGTATAGAATTGTCTATGTATGTATGTATCTATCTATTACACTAGAAATGATCCTATGTTAAGCCATAAAATACAGATTAGATTGTCTTACTTCCTTGTTATCTGGTTAAAAAAAAAAACCCTATATAAGCCATGCCTCTGAATAGAACTACTACTACTGAAGTTTCCACAGCATCATAAAACAAAAGTTTAAAAAGTTAGTGGTATCTTATGGAAAAATCCATGCACCATTATAATGAATAAAACATTTTTTCCTTACACAATATTTTTTTCATGCTTAAAACACCCAATTTGCAAATATACTCACCTTGCTGTATCAGAAATGCTCATAACTGTTTTCTATAAATTTTCCTGATAACACTGGAAGAGGTGATTTAGAAGCACCTTTCACTCTGTTAGATAAAATTTCATTTTTCAACTGCAGAAAGCATCAGAAATGAATCTTGAACTGGAAGTTTCTGTTCACACTGAAGTTTTCTCCTTCTGACTCTGGGATCCACATTATTCCTTGCGTATCTTGGAAAGGGGGTCCTTTAATATCAGTAGGAGGGGACCGGAAACCTTAGGGCCTCCAACAAGCTCCCTCTCACTCCCTGTCTCCTCCAACAACTCTAGCTTATTTTTCCCAGGCCTCTTTGTTTTGATTTGCTTTTTCTCCTTGTTCGAATTTAAGGTAAATCCCCCTGATTCCATGTTTTTCTCTGTTCCTGACCCTTTGCCCAGCATAGTCTTTCCTCTACCAGGCTTTCTGAGGGCGCTAGGGTGACCAGTGACCATGATGTCTTGGTTAGTTCAGGCTGCTGTAATGAATATCACAGACTGGGTGGTTTAAATCGGCAGCCATTGATGTCTAAAAGTTCTGGAGGCTAGCCAGGCCAAGATCAAGGTGCCAGCACATCCGGTGTCTGGAGTGAGCCTATTTCTCGGTTTGTAGATGGCTGTCTTCTCACTGTGTCCTCACATGGCTGAGAGATCATCTCCCTTGTCTCTTCTTATAAGGGCACTAATTCCACTCATGAGGGCTCCACCTCCATGATCTTATACTCTCGAAGCCCACTTACAATACTATATAAAGAATTAGGGCATCAACATATGAATTCTGGGGGGACACAATGTTCAGTCCATAAAGTTGGCTTGAGCCTTCTGCCTCAATTGCACCCCATTAGTCCTTTGTGGATGCCTGAAGTTCCTTCAGTGTTCAAACCTCCCAAGAGAAGTTGCCACTATTTCTCTCCCTCTAACATGGTGACATAGGTCCTGGGTTCGCTGTGCACTCGCAGACTGCATATTACAAGTTGGGGCGGGATGGAGCAGCACCTTCGACCTCCCCCGCGGCCTGCTGTGTCACTGCAGGTAGCTTTGAAGAGAAAAAGCCACACTCGGTTGTTTTGGCAAGAGGCCGTTTAGAGGACAGTGATGGGAGAGTCGATGCACGGAGAACCTGCTCTGTTTTAAAATGACCCTTTCTGGCTTGTTTGTCTCGCCACATATCGGCAGACAGGATTTGCTGCTGGACTTCATGAAGCAAACTGACTGCTGGTTTCAACTGACCTTTTCAGTTCCACAGGGATGTGGTCTCATCGCTGTGGCTTATGGATGGTACAGCAGTTACACAGTAGATCAGAACTGAGGAAACAGTTATAGAAAAATTCTTCTCATAGGCAGGCTTGGTATCATTATAGTCTAATGTGCTAAATCAGACACACTGCCTTCAGCCGAAAACAAGGAGACAAGAATGGATAACTGGGTATTATGCAATTAAACCTGAACACCAAGACCTAACAGGTCTCCTGCACATCCTGGGTAATGAAGTCACATTTCTTCATTGCCCCTGATATGGATTCAATGTGAGCAGGAAGTCAACGATGAAAAATACCGTAGTAGGGCAGATTGCAAACTTGTGATGACATTTGGGAGGAAGTAGAGAAAGGCAAAAACACACAGGGCCTTATGACTCAATTCATTTCTTAATTCAACAAGTTACTGTCATATTCAAAACATTTGCTATTTTATTCCAGTGATAAATCCAAACAAAAGACATTTAAACAAGAATATGTGTTAACTAAAAACAAGGCTTAAGAAAATAAAGAAAAGAGAAGGAACACTATCCACACATGTTTATGAGCTTTGGAAAAAATAATCTAATAAGAAACTAAGCTGCATACGCTGCAATGTCTTGCACAGAATAACTATTCAATAAATCTTCACTGAATTTTCTCTGAATGGCAACATTTAGAGAAAATATGATGCCACCAAATTTGGCGCAGCTATCACCAATAAATATCCTTCCTGATTACTTAAAAAAAGGAAGAATTTAAAACAGCAATGAAAACTTGATAGTTGCAGCAGGAACTCTTGTAGCATTTTCTTTGTGTCTCAGGGAGACTGTCAAGTCAGTTTTAGTTCAGCTCAGCTGCTCAGTTGTGTCCAACTCTTTGTGACCCCCTGGACTGACTTTTTGCAAGCCCACGGACCTACTCTTTGCAACCCCATGGACCCACTCTTTGCGACCCCATGGACTATAGCATGCCAGGCTTTCTAGTCCATCACCATCTCCTGTTGCTTGCCCAAACCCAAGTCCATCGAGTCCGTGATGAATTCAAACCATCTCATCCTCTGTTATCACCCTCTCTTCCTGCCTTCAATCTTTCCCAGTATAAGGGTCTTTTCCAATGAGTCAGTTCTTGGCATCAGGTGGTCAAAGTATTAAAACTTCAGCATTAGTCCTTCCAATGAATATTCAGGACTGAGCTCCTTTAGGATGGACTGGTTTGACCACCCTTTAGTCCAAGGGACTTTCAAGAGTCTTCTCCAACACCACAGTTCAAAAGCATCAATTCTTCAGCGCTCAGCTTTCTTTATGGTCCAACTCTCACATCCATACATGCCTACTGGAAAAACCATAGCTTTGACTAGACAGACCTTTGTCAGCAAAGTAATGTCCCCACTTCTTTTTTTTTTTTTTATTGTAGTGGTTTTTGTCATACATTGACATGAATCAGCCATGGATTTACATGTAATCCCCATCCCGATCCCCCCTCCCACCTCCCTCTCGACCTGATCCCTCTGGGTCTTCCCAGTGCACCAGCCCTGAGCACTTGTCTCATGCATCCAACCTGGACTGGTGATCTGTTTCACCATAGATAATATACATGTTTCGATGCTGTTCTCTCGAAACATCCCACCCTCGCCTTCTCCCACAGAGTCCCAAAGTCTGTTCTGTACATCTGTGTCTCTTTTTCTGTTTTGCATATAGGGTTATCATTACCATCTTTCTAAATTCCATATATATGTGTTAGTATGCTGTAATGTTCTTTATCTTTCTGGCTTACTTCACTCTGTATAATGGGTTCCAGTTTCATCCATCTCATTAGAACTGATTCAAATGAATTCTTTTTAATGGCTGAGTAATATTCCATGGTGTATATGTACCACAGCTTCCTTATCCATTCGTCTGCTGATGGGCATCTAGGTTGCTTCTATGTCCTGGCTATTATAAACAGTGCTGCGATGAACACTGGGGTGCACGTGTCTCTTTCAGATCTGGTTTCCTCAGTGTGTATGCCCAGGAGTGGTATTGCTAATGTCCCCACTTCTTAACACACTGTCTAGGTTGGTCACAGCTTTCCTTCTAAGGAACAAGTGTCTTTTAATTTCATGGCTTCAGTCACCATCTGCAGTGATTTTGGAGCCCAAGAAAATAAAGTCGTTCATTGTTTCCATTGCTTCCCCATCTATTTGCCATGAAGTGATGGGACTGGATGCCATGATCTTAGTTTTCTGAATGTTGAGTTTTAAGCCAGTTTTTTCACTCTCCTCTTTCACTTTCAACAAGAGGCTTTTTAGTTCCTCTTTGCTTTCTGTCACAAGGGTGGTGTCATCTGCATATCTGAGGTTATTGATATTTTTTCGGGCAATCTTGATTCCAGCTTGTGCTTCATCCAGCCTAGCATTACACATGACGTACTCTGCATATAAGTTAAATAAGCAGAGTGACAATACAGAGCCTTGATGTACTCCTTTCCCGATTTGGAACCAGTCTGTTGTTTCATGTCAAGTTCTAATTGTTGCTTCTTGACCTGCATCAGATTTCTCAGGAGGCAGATAAAGTGGTCTGGCATTCCCATCTCTTGAAGAATTTTCCACAATTTGTTGTGATCCACACAGTCAAAGGCTTTGGTGTAGTTAATAAAGCAGAAGCAGATGTTTTTCTGGAACTCTCTTACTTTTTCTATGATCCAGCAGATGTTGGCAATTTGATCCCTGGTTCCCCTGCCTTTTCTAAATCCAGCTTGAACATCTGGCAATTCTCGGTTCACATACTGTGAACCTAGCTTGGAGAATTTTGAGCATTACTTTGCTAGCATGTAAGATAAGTGCAATTGTGCAGTAGTTTGAGCATTCCTTGGCATTGCCTTTCTTTGGGATTGGAATGAAAACTGACCTTTTCCAGTCCTATGGCCACTGCTGAGTTTTCCAAATTTGCTGGCATATTGAGTGCAGCACTTTCACAGCATCATCTTTTAGAATTTGAAATAGCTCAGCTGGAATTCTATCACCTCCGCCAGCTTTGTTCGTAGTGATGCTTCCTAAGGCCCACTTGACTTTGCACTCTAGGATGTCTGGCTCTAGGTGAGTAATCATACCATCATGGTTATCTGGGTTGTAAAGATCTTTTTTGTATAGTTCTATGTATTCATACCACCTCATCTTTTTTTTTTTTTTTAGGTGAAAAATATGTCAACTTTTATTTTATTCATAAAAAACCAACAAATAAATTAACAAACAGCATAGTTGCAGAATCTTAGTCATATACCAGGTACCATAATCAGCACAGCTTTATTCCAGTAAAAAGTCTATGTAAAGAATAGTAGTTACAAATTGTGCGAGCTGGTTGAGCTTATGTTTGAGACATTTCATAATTAGCATCAAATAAAATATTTATTAAAATAAAGATGACCTAGTGCACATGCAACAATTTAATTTAAGCAATATAAGCCCTCTCATTGAAGGGCTCAGTGGTAAACAATCCACCTGCCAATGAAGGAGACTGTTTCAATTCTTGGGTCGGGAAGATCCCTGAAGAAGGAAATGGCAACCCTCTTCAATATTCTTTTTCTTTTCTTTTTGGCAAATTTAATCTGATAATTTATTTATGGAAAAAAGTGAGTTTTTATGAGAAAAAAGTTTAATCCTTTCCTTCTAAACGTAAAAGAAACTCAACAATTTTAAAGGTAGCATGCCAGAAAATGCAACAGTAACTCATAATGTAATCCTTTTCAATTAAACAGACAAGTTGAAGACAGGTGTTAAAATACTTTTCAGACTGAATATATTTATCAGCCTATATGATCTGTTGTTCTAATTGAATTTTGAGTTTTTAAAAAAAACCCAACCTTTTATAAGAGCTGTCACATCTAGAAATGAAGAAAATAAATTAGATCCCCTCTCCCTTCCCAAAAGATACTAATTTCTAAAGCATGAAAAGCTATATATGTTAAACAAATTAACCAGTAGTCTTATAACAGTAACGTAGTTTTCGATGACATTATGCTGTATTTGTGTTGAAGTACTACACAAGAATATATGTATCAGTTGGGTATTTTCAGTCTAATTAGTCTCTTAAGTTATTTAACTCTTGGCAATATATAGTAACTGGTATGTATTTTGGTACTTAAGTCATGACTGTAGAGAACAAGAAGCAGTATGTTAAAGTAATAGAGTTTGTATTTGACAATTACTGTGTTGAAAAAATCTCTTCTATGAACTCTGATTTGTTTTGCAGTTGGTCACTTGTAGCAGATCCTTGACTACATTCTTCCATATCCATGCTTTCTCTAACCGCAGTCTCTGACATTTCTTCATTCCTCTCCTCATATTTCGGTCTTTTGAGATTAATTGTCTGGCTAATTTAACAGTCAGTCCTTCACTGTAATGAAGCTTCCTTTTCATTTCAAACTGTCGCTTTTTTTTCTCTCCTTCTTCAGGTGAGAGGTCAGGATCCTCATCTCCACTGCTTTCTGGTTCACTAACTCGATACTTTGGTTCAGAGCTTTCAGCAGCGGCAGTAGCAGCTCGTTTCGTAGCTAAGCTATCTAGGCTCAGAGCTTCAGCGGTTTCCGAATCACTCAGTACATCCTCCTCATCACCCACCATACTGTGGGAAGGCGTGCTCAGCAGCCTATCTTCACTAAACCATAGGCTTCGTCTGCGGGATGAGTTCGCCAGGATGTTCATTTCATCCCACTCTGGGACCTTTTACTCAGCTCTTCTCAACACTTGCCGGGATGTTCGGCCGAGGCCGCCACAGAGGAGGTCGTAGAGCTCTTGTTCCTCAGGATCCCCTCCATAGGCCGCTGCGAGGCCGTGGAGGCCGCCATCGCCCGCGGCTCCGCGTCGCTCTTCGCGTCGCTATTCAGCGTCACTCGCCACCTCATCTTAGTATCTTCTGCTTCTGTTAGGTCCATAGCATTTCTGTCCTTTATTGTGCCCATCTTTGCATGAAATGTTCCCTTGCTTGGTATCTCTAATTTTCTTGAAGAGATCCCTAGTCTTTCCAATCTTTCGTTTTCCTCTATTTCTTTGCATTGATCGCTTAGGGAGGCATTCTTATCTCTCATTGCTATTCTTCGGAAGTTTGCATTCAAATGGGTGTATGTTTCCTTTTCTCCTTTGCCTTTCACTTCTTTTCTCAGCTATTTGTAAGGCCTCCTCAGACACCATTTTGCCTTTCTGCATTTCTTTTTCATGGGGATAGTTTTAATCACAGCCTCCTGTACAATGTCATGAACCTCTGCCCACAGTTCTTCAGGCACTCTGTCTGTCAGACCTAATCCCTTGACTCTATTTGTCACTTTTACCATATAATCATTAGGGATTTGATTTAGGTCACACCTGAATGGTCTAGTAGTTTTCCCTACTTTCTTCAATTTAAGTCTGAATTTGGCTATAAGGAGTTCATGATCTGAGCCACAGTCAGCGCCCAGTCTTGTTTTTGCTGACTGTATAGAGCTCTACCATCTCCAGCTGCAAAGAATATAATCAATCTGATTTCGGTATTGACCATCTGGTGATGTCCACATTTAGAATCGTCTCTTGTGTTGTTGGAAGAGGGTGTTTGCTATGAACACTGCATTCTCTTGGCAAAACTCTGTTAGCCTTTTCCCTGCTTCATTCTGTACTCCAAGGCCAAACCTGCCTGTTACTTCAGGTATCTCTTGATACCAAGTCACTTTAGCATCCTGTAACTGAAAACACAATCCTACTTCTTCATTCTCCACCAGTCTATGAAATGTTAGAGTTTTTGCTTGTCTCTACTGACTAAAAACACAGTAAGTGCTGAAACATTATTTGTTGACTTGAACTGAATTGTTTTAATACATCTCATCACTTATACTAGCCAATAAGCTCTCTTATTCATCTCCTGGCAGAGCGCCTTATCCATGGTAGGTGTTCAACAGGTATTTATTTAATATGAACAATCTTACAGAACATGTTACCAGAACAAATGATTATGAACACTCTCCTTCAAGCCTCTGTTAATAAAAGGAATCCCAGTTGGTTCCCTCACGCCCTGGGTAGGCACTGCCACACCCAGACCTTTTGTATGACAGCACAGAACATACCTATGGGATCTTCCTTAAGGCTTGGTCTTCCCTGTTGACTGTGAGGTTCATCAGGGAGGGACTACTCACTGTTGTATCTCTATGACCCAACACAGGGCCTGGCACACAGTAGGTCTGGATACATATTCCACTCAGCAGCCTGCTTCAATGAATACATCTGACCATGTCACTCCCTTCCCCAAAGCCCTCCAATGGTCACCTAGAGCAAAACCCAAAGTTCACAACACATGTCCCAGTCATGCCACACACATCTGGCCCCTCCCCACTTCTCCAGATGGACTTCACTGTCATTCTTGGCATAATCTCTAAGGTGGACTTCCAGCTTTTTTATGTTGACCAAGCTCTTTCCTGACTCAGGCCCTTTGCATGTGCTGTTCCTAACAATTCTCTCCCCCTCTCTCATCACCAGACTGCTGTTTTTCAAGTCCCAACTTGAGGTTTTTGCTCAAGGAAGTCATCTATGACCTCATGCACAAATAAGGTCATGCCTCCTGACACATGCTCTCACTGCATCTTGTATCTTTTCTTCATAGTACTGTTTAGGACTGCCATTTAAACAATTAAATTTTCAGTTTGTTTACAGTCTGTAACCTCAACCAGTGTTTCAGCTTTGACTATGTCAGATTTTCAGCACCAACATAGCCCTCGACTCAGAGATGTTCCACACATACCTGTTTTGAATAGTAAATAATTTTCTGCTGGAAACCTGCCTAGGAGTAGGCTGAGTCCTGCTGTGATACCTCCCTCTCCTCGCAACCATGCCTGCCCCCTGCCCTGAGCAGCAATCATACCATCTCTTCCTTGTCCTGGGCCTCCCCCACTTACTGCCCACCCTTAAAGGCACATAAGGTCATATACAGGTATAAGCACATGAATTAAAGAATGTGAATCAAATAGTTTAAGTCAATGATTTTCAAGCAGTATTAGGTGATCTACAAAATAGCTTAACTTGTCTCTCAGTTTCCTCCTGCATATCACAGGAAAGATATCAGACCTTCCCACATAGACTGTCGTGAGGGACAACTGGGCAATGTGTGTAATGAACGTGGCTCAATGCCCAGTACATACCAATCAATAACGGGTAGCTATTCTAACTGGTTACTGTAATTATCAAAGATTCTTCTCCAACCACTCCTGTACTATGATGTCAATTTTACCTATGTAGAGTAAATGATGGACTGAAATGCATTTTCAGTGCACGGAATAGCCCTTCATTTTGGTCTTATACAACAGAAATGATGGAAATAGAATTTCCGTGGCAATTCACCTTTCAAAGGAATGTAGGCTTAGATTAGGAATTTTTAGTTGAATGTGTACTGGCCTCTGAAGTTGAAAAACATTGGTGGGGTGTGGGTCTAACAGGATTCCCATTGATTTAGCTTCCTAAATGAAAGTGTGAACATGTGGACCCCTGGCTGGAGAGTGCCCGGCCCTCCACTGCACAGTCTCACTGACCTTCTCCAGTCGGTATATGAGCTGCTTGGTGGAGAGCTGGATGAATGGCGCCACAAACTCACAGATGATGTTCACAGTCATCACCAGGCTCTTCCCCTTTTGCGTCCCAATGATGGTGTGGCACACCAGCTTTTCTTTGACTACCTGAGGACAAGATATACCAGCATTTGTGGACCCTCCATAGTTTAGAAAACTTAATTCTCAACCATCAGCAAACATTCTCAACTACTTGCCTGGGGACACCAGGGAAGAGCATGGTTTTCTGAGCAGTGCATGTCAGGGAGGAGTCTCTGTCACAGTTAAAGTCTGATTGGTTAGATATGGCCAGGGTGGATCCTGTGTCTACTTCTGACTGTCCCTGAGGGCACAATCAATTTACATCCAGTTCATCCAGTGTGTTTATGGAAGATCTATCACGCACTGGGGCTGTTAGGGACTGGATACACAGAAGAGTGATGGACAAGGCAGATAAAAATCCTTCACGGGCTATCACTGTGCTGGACACCTGAGGCTGACACAACATTGTAAACCAACTACACTTCAGTTAAAAAAAAATCTTCACAGGCTTAGAGCTCAATGGCAGTTATACGATTTCCTACCAAGCTAGCTGGAAACTGACTAGAACAATTTTACCTTTCCTATTTGAATATTTAAAAATCATATACGGTAACAAATACTTCTTTGGACCCAATAAGCCTAGATTTTTATGAAGTAGAAAGGACCCAAAGTGAATTTATATCATGAATAGCCTTCATTGAAGACTGGCTAAGGTTTCAGATGTTAATGAATTCAAGACGCATCTCACTTATGTAGCAGAACTTGGAAGAACATTCAGTGAAGCTTTTAGTAAGGCTACAACTGAATTTAGAACCCCAGCAGCTCAGATTTAATGGCTTTAAAAACAGTCAACTCCTGATAATGGCATTGTAAAAATGTTCCTGGAATGGACCATCAGTATCGAGCTGAGGGGCTGCATTCTATTCATCTTTGCATCCTCAGGGCACCACAAACTGTGGTGTTTGATGTGTGTACATACTCAGTGAAAGTTGGCTGAACCCCTCAATAAGAGAGAGAAAGAACACATTATACACTCCACCATGGGAAATAACTGTCTTTTTAAAATTGAGGATGTGTTTTACCTGAAAATATTCTGTGAAGAAACAATTTAAGTGAAACAAAGTGACTCTGTGACCCCAGAGGAGCTAAGCAGTGGACCAGATTTCCCATCTCATCTGCTAGGAGACAACTTATTACTGTTTCCTTTTTCATGAGGAGAAAGTTCAGCATCACATCCCAATTTGGTAACATGAGCAGAAGCTCAGGTAACCACCGTTTCTCATTTACAAAGTCTGTCTTTGTGAAGAGGCTTATAAATGATTTCAGATTTTTATGTTTTTGATGGTTTCTAACCTCCATGAGGTGATAAGAATAAACAGACACATGGTTGGATCTGCCTAAACATCTTTAGCAGAATAGTGATAATGTGAATAACAGCAGAACGTCAGAGTTGAAGATAAATGCAGCTCTTTTATCCATACATAAAAAGGTGATGATTATAAATATGAATCTTTCAACTCAGGCTGAGAGAAAAGGAAGTGAAGACATTCCAATACCTGGATAGGAGAGGCAGCCAAGATGGACTATAAAAACATTTTAAAAAACAAATATTAAGTGAATACTGCTAAGTGTTAATAAGGGGCCTAGCTTTGCCTGAATGTTGGTTGTCCCTCCACCAGAAACCCACTGGCTTTGTTAACTCTGGGGATAAGAACCTGCTTTAAATGGTATTTTAAGATTGGGTTCATGGCAGCTGTAGAAACAAACAGAAAACTCCACAGTGCTGACCCTTGAATGGAATGGGTGCTGCCATGGTAACACAGGGCTGTATGCAATCCTTGAGAAACTATAGCCTTCCTTCAGATAAATGTCAAGAGACTCACCTAAGAAACAGAGCAGATTTATTTAGGAGAAGAAAGCTTCTAAACATGGCATCCTCTTACCCTGGGAGTGGTAGAATAGCCTTCGAGTATCACATCGATCGTCTGGCCTGGGGACAGCTCCATCCTGACGGGGTGGAGCTGAAATACAGGGCTGTGAGGCTCCCTGGGTGCCTGGCAGCACTGAACCTGGGGCTGGCTCTTTGCACGATCCTTCTTGGCCAGTTTCTTCTTGTTCAACTTTTCTTGGGGACAGAAATCTTCATTCATCCAGAATAACTGTTGGGCCCGACGTCCCTTGTTGGTCAACTTGAAGTGGTAGTAATAGGTGTCCAGGCTGGAAAAGAGAAGTGAGGGATTCATAGGACTTCCCTGGGGGTTGCTCTGTTCAGCTCTACACCCTTGGGATTTATCCCTCTGGAAGTACTTAAAAAGTGAGCAAAAAAACAGACATCAGTATTTTTTTTTTTGGTAATATAGAAAGGCTAAACAGTGATGCTATTAGGAGCTGCTACAGTAATAGGACAATGTAGCATCTACTCATAGGGTCATCTACTCATAGGGTCCCTGAGTTACCATCACCAGGGAAGGGGTTGTGGGGAAGTGGCTCCTGCGTCCTCAGTGTTTCTCATGAGGAGAAGCCACCACAGGACACAAAGATACAGATCATGTGAAAACCACTTTCATTTGCAAGAAACGGTTCTGAGGAGGGAAAATAAAATACCTCCTGGAGGACAAGCTTATTTCAAATTGTATTGAGTAAACTTCTAGTGACCAGTAAAATGCCTTGTGATGGACTCAATTTGAAGGGAACTTCAAAGAGAAACAAAACATCCTCTAAACCTTACAGTCAAGGAAATTGTAATAGATTAGAACACCAGCCAGACTGGTCATTTGTCTTAGACTCATGTGCTTTAAAGATGCTACTATTTCATTCACTTATTCATTCATTTGTTCCACAAATAAAGTACCTCTTTATTGTCTGGTTCTTTGCGAGCTACAGGGATTTATAAGATCTTGGAGGTGGTTTATATGTGTTTTTGAGTGTTTTTTTTTTTAAACTGATTATAAGCTTACTTTAAAATATTCTTTTCAGGGAAAAACTCATCTCAAGACTTTTAAAATTTATTTTTAATTTTGAGGGACTTTGAGTTTTCATCTCATCTGTCCCTTCTTTGGAAAGATGTCATATCTAATAATAAGCCTTAATAAAAAATGAGTGCCAGTTGTCAGGTACAACCACTTTTATCTAAATATATGTCCAACAGGGCTTCCTCATTGGAGTCTTTACTTTGTAGTTAGACTTCATGGCTAAAACTACACTTTTGGGGGAAATAACAAGTAATAAATACTATAAACTAGGTAGGGTCTCTGTCACTTATTCACAGTATATCTTTTAACCATCACAGTAACCAAGTAATAATAAGTATATTTACTCCCATTTTATTGACGAAGAAACAGAAGCTCTGAAAACTGAAAGTTGTTGTTCAAAAATATGGCATCAGAAAAGCTGGCATCTGAGTATTTCTTTAGATCTTATGTCCCCAAAGTTGGCAAATGTTTCCACCAAGGGACTGAATAATAAATGTTTCAGAGCTTCCCTGGTGGCTCAGATGGTAAAGCATCTGCCTGCAATGCAGGAGACCCGGGTTCAATCCCTCGGTTGGGAAGATCTCCTGGAGAAGGAAATGGCAACCCACTCCAGTATGCTTGCCTGGAGAATCCCATGGACGGAGGAGCCTGGTAGGCTACAGTCCATGGGGTCACAAAGAGTCGGACACGACCGAATGACTTCACTTTCACTTCTCTTTGGGCCTTGTGGCCCATTACAACTACTCTACTCTCCACTGCAGTGTCAAACAAGCCATAGAAGATACATGTATATGAATAGCCATGGCTGTGTTCCAATAACACTATTTTTTAAATTTATTTTTAATTTGAGGATAATTGCTTTACAATGTTATGTTGGTTTCTGCTACATAACAACACGCACCAGCCATAGTATACATATGTCCCCCTCCCTCCCGAGCCTCCCTCTCACCCCCTGCCCCATCCCCTCCTACTAGGTGGTCACAGAGCACTGGGGTGAGCTTCCTGCATTGTAGAGCATCTTCCCACTAGCTATCTGTTTTACATATTGTGTTGTATATGTTTTGATTTGTCCCACCCTCTCTTTCTCCCATTATGTCCACAAGTCTGTTCTCTATATCTCCTCTATTTTCTGCCCTGAAAATATGTCCAATGACATTTTATTTATAGAAACAGGCAATGGGCTGTAGTTTTCCCACCTTTGCTTTTGATGACTCTTCTGCAGATTGCTGGCATCAAGATTTTATGTCAAAAAGAAGGACAGTAGAGTTTAGGCAGAGCAGAAATTGGCAGTTAAAAATTACAGATTGCTTCTGCTTTCATAGAAAACTATCAGTTAACCCTCCAATTCTAGGCAAGTGTCAGAATATCTTTTGCAGTTCAGTTCATTTCAGTCACTCAGTCACGTCCAACTCTTTGCGACCCCATGGACTGCAGCATGCCAGGCTTCCCTGTCCTTCACCAACTCCCAGAGCTTGCGCAAATTCATGTCCATCAAGTTGGTGACACCATTCAACCATTTCATACTCTGTCATCCCCTTCTCCCACGTTCAATCTTTCCCAGCATTTGGGTCTTTTCCAATGAGTCAGTTCTTTGCATCAGGTGGCCAAAGTACTGGGTTTCAGCTTCAGCATCAGTCCTTCCAATGAATATTCAGGACTGATTTCCTTTAGGATGGACTGGTTGGATCTCTTTGCAGTCCAAGGGGCTCTCAAGAATCTTCTCCAACACCATGATTCAAAAGCATCAATTCTTCAGTGCTCAGCTTTCTTTAACAGTCCAACTCTCACATCTATACATAACTACTGGAAAAACCATAGCTTTGACTAGACAGACCTTTGTCAGTCAAGTAATGTCTCTGCTTTTTAACATGCTGTCTAGGTTGGTCATAGTTTATCTTCCAAGGAGCAAGCGTCTTTTAACTTCATGGCTGCAGTCACTATCTGCAGTGATTTTGGAGCCCAAGAAAATTAAGTCTGTCATGGTTTCCATTGTTTCCCCCATCTATTTGCCATGAAGTGATGGGACTGGATGCCATGATCTTAGTCTTTTGAATGTTGAGTTTTAAGCTAACTTTTTCACTCTCCTCTTTCACTTTCATTAAGAGGCTCTTTAGTTCCTCTTTGTTTTCTGCCATAAGGGTGGGGTCATCTGTGTATCTGAGGTTATTGATATTTCTCACAGTAATATTGATTCCAGCTTGCGCTTCATCCAGTCTGGCATTTCTCATGATGTACTCGCATATAAGTTAAATTAGTAGGGTGACAATATACAGCCTTGATGTACTCCTTTCCCAATTTGGAACCAGTCTGTTGTTCCATGTCTGGTTCTAACTTTTGCTTCTTGACCTGCATACAGATTTCTCAGGTATTTGACACTATTTGTAAATTAAGAAGAACATGTAATTAAGTCTGGTTTGCAGTATATTGTTTTCTATAATTATATTTGAATGCACTTAACAAAGAAATCTGGAAACAGAGGCATGGTACGCAATGACAAAATGCCCTGGCTTATAGTTAATGGACAGGAGGAGACGGCTCCTAATATTATTTTGTCAGGTACACCTTCTCTTAACAGTGTGTCCATCTTGGTTTCAGGGCATCAGACCAGAAGGCAGGAGCATCCCTTTGAGATCTGTTCACAGTATTGAAACAAACAGGTACCAATTCAGCTGGCTCATGAGAGTCAACTAGTGACAACGTGTGACTCTTATGAGGAAGCATGAACCAAATTCCATGGTTAGTATTCAAACCCCACACATTTTAAGAGTTACATTTACATCATTCTGCTCAGAGGTGTCTATACTGTGCCACCTGTTATTTAAATATCTAGGCTCTCTAGCTTTTCCTGAGTGATCAGGTGAAGCCAACCACAATCATTTCAATTGTTGGTGCTATGGTAAGGAGGCAAGCAGAGGACATGATACAGGAAAAAAATCACTGGCTTTGCAATACCTGAAAAGATACATTCACAGTATATTTTTACTTTCCTAGTTATATTCTATGTATGTTATCATTAGGTTGCATCTTTATTTTCTACATTCATGGAAAGAAGTTAGCAATGTATTGAAATCAAAGAAGAGAAATCATGGTTGAGATTCTAAATCTGTCACAGAGAATCCACTCTAAGTTTTAGAGAACACCCTTCCTATGAACCATCTCTTCTCTAGTGCAGAGGGATACAGCTTGCAGTATATAACCAAACTAAGACTAGAAAATGTCTCCTTGTGGCTGATGAACCATCTGGAGGAGGGAAAGTGAAGATGAGGAGGTTAGTTCTATTTACTTAAAAATAATTTTTCGAAGTAGAAGTGGTGCTCAGCTTATGCAATATACATGATATGTATAAAAATTGGTCCATGATATTTCTTTACCTAAAGTGTGCTCCCAAATTGAGTTCTGGTGCAAAGGGCTTATCTGAAACAATGGTGGAGCCAACTCCTGAAGCCTGGACAGGAATTCGGTAGGTGTTGCTATTTTCAATGTCCAAAACGACTGTGTCTTTGAATGTCAGTATGTCGTTCAGGTTGGCGGTCAGTGTCAGTTTGACATCACTTTCTGGGGGAACCATGCCTTCACTGGGCTCAATGGTCCAAAGGGACTTTTTGTGTGCCTGTAAAACAAGACTACAAGTTAACTGTGAAGATATTCTTGGCTTTTCATTCTGCACATGTCAAAGCCCTCTATACTTCAGATGCCTGGCACTGCAGAATTCAACATCAGAGACAAACATTATTTTTTTGAATCAAAGCAGCTGGGTGTTTGTTGGCTTTTCTTTTTTTCAAAAAGCAATATGATTCTGAAGAGCAAACCTACAATTCTACTTCTGAATGCTCTGTGAAGATTCCTTACATCTTTTTCGTAATGTGACAGCCCAACTCTCTAACAAACTTATACTAATTATCTGCTCTAATCTCCAAATTCTGAGACACCAACAGAAGGTACAAAATCCTTCCTGAAATTTGACATTTTTAAAAGAAATGTTTTTCAAGTGCAAAGTTTCTGTGATGTTATAGTAGGGGTGAACAGCTTTCATTAATAAAAACAATGTAAAATCATCTTGGTTTCTACTAGTTCATAATAATCAATAGAATTTCATTTGCTAAAATTCCAAACTTATTTTAAAACATGTTACAGGACTAAATAATAGAGTTGGGAGTGACTCCCACCAATGTATTCCCTTTAACTGCTTAGATCCTCATAGCTCAGTCTCTTTCCTCCCCAAGGTCTTTGACTGAACAACACTTGGCAATGAAGCTTACACTTACCATCACATTTTAAGTTGAAAGCCTTCCCCCTCCAGTATTCCTTATGCTTTTACCCTGCTCCATTTTTTACCATCTTCTAACACAGTGCATGATTGACTTATCATTATCCTGCTCTCCCTGCACTACAATATACACTCTCTGTAGAAGGGATTTTTGTCTCTTTCGTTATAGTTGTTCTTGTATTTATAATTATGCCTGGTACATAACAGATGCTTAATAAATATTTGTTAGATGAACTTATATATCTGCCTTTCAATCAAATCCTGTGATGTTAGAGAACTCATTTATCAACTAAGGTAACATATCCCTGGTTTTTAACAATCCATAACATCTGGTATGTCTTCCTTACATTAAGCAGAGATCTGTTTGTTTTTGACCTTCCATATACTGATATTTGGTCCACTCCCTTGGAGCTAAATAGAACAAATTGAATCTCCCTCTTTTGTTTAACAGCCCTTCAAATTACACCTCCATCTTAAGAAGAAAACCTCTTATGACTCCAAAGTAAGTTGAAAATTTGGCTAACATGTCAAATAATAATAATTTTAAAAATTACTCAAGCTATAATTAAAAATATAAACTCTGGGTCTTTAGTGTTAATCTACTTTCCTAGGCGGCTTTTCTCCTTGTATTTGATTAATTATGGTGCAGTTTCACTACAATGTGTCCAGTTATGAGTTTATTTGTATATCCTGCTTGGAATTTGCTACCCTTCCAGAATCTGTGGTTTGGTATCTTTATTTCTGAAAAACTCTCAGCAATTATGTGTTTAAATACTATTTCTGACTCATTCTTTCTTCTTTCTTTATATTACTCCATAATAAGTGGGTATGACTTTCCTAGTGTGTCCTCACATGCTTCATCTGCATTTTCCATCCTTTCTTTCCCTGTGCTTCATTTTGGATGATTTCCTCTAAACTATCTTCCAGTTCAATAATTCTTTCTCCAACTGTATATAATTCACTGTTGAACACATCTAGCATATTATTAATTTCAGTGTTTTTTGAATTCAGTTTTATTATTTACTTTTCTTTTTATACATTTTTCAGCCTTTTGAGATCTTTTAAAATTCTGATTATGACATTCAACTTATTAGCTACTTTTCCTCATCCTTCCCAGTCATCTGCAAATTTGATAAGCATATTGTTTTATATGTACTTAAAAGCAAATACTTTTTAAGTGCATACAGTGGTTCTGAGATCAAGATATTGTGGGAGACACAAAAAGGTCCAAAGCACAGTTTCTGCCCCCAAGAAGTTTATAATAATGACATTCAGAGAGACAACCATGCAAAACAAAAATGCAAGTCAGAAGGAGGCTATGGTGAAAGTGTCTCAGGGAAATATAAAGAACAAGCTGCATTTTTGGAGCAGAAGATGTTGAAATTCTTTGTATGATAAATTTCCAGACACATTTTCTTTTCTGTCTAAATATGAAATTGAGCTTAATTATCAGAGAGTGTGATCCTTAACTATTTTATGCCATTGCTTAATAAAACTCAATTTGTTCCACTCTCATTTTACATGTAAACAGTATCTCAAAATTAACACAAAGCACCACATCCCTATTTTGATTGTTATATTATTTAAATTAATTCTAACAGTACTGTTTTGTTTTGAGAAAAAAATTACTCAGAAATATTTATATGCATAAATATTCATAGAAAATATTTAATGATGACTAACAATGTATTGGGAAAAGGCTGAAAACAGAAAAGATGTACAGATCATTTCAAAACTTCCAGGATAATAATGGAGTGGCAAAATCAAGCTTTCCACTTCATTGAAGAGGAGTCTGATTATCCCCTCATGAATCTCCCTTGGCTCCCTGTACTCTTCTGAGTAAGGAAGCTCAGAATAAGCTCTCTTTAAAAAAAGCAGAGAGAAGAAAACAGCAATTTAAAGACAAATGTAAAATATACTTTATTGGCTGGATTTGAGAGAACATTCCAGTCCAAAGTTATCCTTCCTCTATTTCATTTCCATGGTGTATTTCTCTTAGCAAAAGAAAAAAGAGAAATGTAAAAACACATGTAGCTCCATGAGGACTGAGGTTCAATGTAAAGTTACAGATCAGAAATCTTCTGGGTTTGGAATAGAGTTGTACTGTTTGATGTTCATTGTAAACAAGAAGAATGTATTTTGCAATTTGCAGGCAAGAGTTAGAAATGTCAGTAGGCAGAATCTTGTAGGATGACAGTGCCTGGGAATGTCACCAAAACCCAGGTCTAGCCCCAGTGTAAACTCAGAGACTGGATTTGGTGAGTGGGCCCTGACTGGTCACCCTCTTGGGAACAGGGCCACAGGTACTTAAATAAAGAGAATCTAATATTTAAACCCAAATGCCAATTTCCCAATTAACAACTGAGGAAAATCCTATTTCACAGATCAGAATACTAATTACATTTTGTCTTGGCTTGAAAGTCTGCATGGGAACTAATAAATTGCACTTTAAAATTCAAATAAATGAAGCAAAGAAGAACAGTTCTCAATATTATAAATTGTTTATAAAGAGGATGTAGATGAATGATGAGAAAATTTTAATTTTGGTATTAATGGAAATTATAGATTTAACTCTAAGTCACGAGTCCTATTATTATTCATAACCTTTTAATATGGGACATCTCTAGAGACATAGATAGAAAAGAAAACAAACATGAAATACCACACTAGATAAATTAGGGCTGAGATAAGATATTTGTATGCTAATTATCTCTATTCAGAACACTTGCCAAAAGAAATGCTGATGTTTGTATGACAAACTGTTTTTCCAAAATTTTAAAACTTTTCTCCTCATACTAAATTAGCCCCAGTGAAATACTTTTAATATTAAAAAAACAGTAAGCAAAGTCTGTCTTTCCATAAAATTGACTTGTATTTGTGCATAATTTTATCCTAAAATATTAGTAACAAAAGTAATAATTCTCATAAATTTAATTTTGGGTATTATAGATCAATTATTACTGCAAGATAAACTACATGATTGAATATCATATATTTTGCTCATGTTTAGGCTCAAAGAAATAACTTCTTTGCATCTTCTTAATTTATCCATTTTTTAAAAAGCAGTGTCTGATAGCCCAGTCACAGCAATGTAGACTTATTCTAGCATGAACTTCAAAACTCTTACATGTATAATTGATTCACTATGTGGTACTGCAGAAGCTACACAAGACTGTAAATCAATTATACTCCAATAAATTTTTTTTTTAATAGATAACCAACAAGGACCTACTGCATAGCACAGGGAACTAAACTCAATGTTATGCAATAACCTATAAAGGAAAAGAATCTAAAAGAGAATACATATACACAAACAAACACATTTCAATAAAAAATTTAAAAAAAAAAACAAAAAACCTCACAGCTTCAACCCATTTCCCAGTTCCAAAACCACAGTCATATTTGTAGGTATTTGTTACAGCAGTACTCCATTCTCAGCATCAGTATCTGTCTTCGTCAGCTGGGGCTGCTATAACAAATTACCATAGACTGACTGGGTGGCTTATAAACTACAGAAATTTATTTCTCACAATCCCAGAGACTGTAAATCCAAGATCAGGGTGCCAGCATGGTTGAGTTCTCCTGAGAGCCCTCTTCCAGACTGAAGACTGTTGCTTTTCCTTGTGTCCTCACACAGTGGAGAGAGAGCAAAGAAGTAGCTCTCTTTTGACCCTTATTAGGGAACTAATCCCGTCTTTATGACCTCATCTAATCCTAATTACCTCCCAAAGGCCTCACCTCCTAACACCATCACATCAGAGGAGAAAGTTTCAAATATGAATTTTGGAGGTATACGAACATCCAGTCTCTGACATTCTGCCCCAAAGCCCCCAAATCCACGCCGTTCTCATATGCGCAATATATCCATTTCATCTAAACATCCCCAAAGCACTTGCTTGGTTAACTTGTTTGGTCTCACAGGTTCACAGCTAGAGAGGAATTTTACCTTAGGATGAATGTACTCTGAGTCTTATTCATACCTGATTTAGTTGATAGTTAGATGAGACTTAGGACCTTAGAGGTGATACTGGAACAAGTTAAGGCTGTTGGGATGGAATGAACTTATTTTCATGTGAGAAGGACATCAGTTTGGAGGAGCCAAGATGGAATGTTATGAACTGAATGTTTTGTGTTTCCCCCTAAATTAATGTTGAGACCCTCTCCTCAGTATGATGGTATCAGGAGGTGCGGCTCATGAACCAGATTAGTGCCATCCTTAGAGTCACGAACCCTGGAGGAGGGCAGGGCAATCCATCCACTTCAGTATTCTTGCCTGGAGAATCCCCATGGACAGAGGAGCCTAGTGGGCTATAGTCTATGGGGTTGCAGAGTCAGACATAACT